TTGAAGATGTTCCCGTTCCCTCCTTTCGGTATGACGGGTACGTCGGGCCCTTAGGGTCCCGTCTGAAGCTGTATGAGTTTCAACTTCAAATTCACTTTCGGTATCATGGTCCGACTGAACTTGAGGGTCGTCTAGGGGACGCCTCTCTTCAGGAGTCGGTACATACTTGGATGCCATCTCAGAAGTACTCTCCCCACAGACGGCGCCAAATGTTTCGGGGTTTTCTGATGTCCTGCGGGAGAGTTACAATTCCGAGACTGGAACCGGACGCCTGTACCTGCAAAATAACGGAGACTCCTGGGAGCTCCGCCTCCAACGGTCAAGTTAGTATTTGAATAAGGAGTAATTAATGCGGAAATTAAAGTGATTGAGTCTCTCTAGGTGAGAGTGTTTAATGTAGGTAATCTGCTTTGTTAGCGAGATTAGCCGATTATTACTGTGTGTAATTAATGTGTTTTTTCCGTAATGTGTTCGTAATGATTTCGTAATGATTTCGTAATCCCCCTTAATGAGGATTAAGGGAGGTATTTATAACCTTGGGAAACGTGCCCATCCTAGGTTTAGGTTAACCTAGGGCCGGTTGGGCTTCCCTAGGAAGTTGGGCCTGGGTGGCCGGTTTCTCCATTAGGCATGGAGTATGCCACATGTCATGACATAATAGGTCCAAGGAGGACGAATAAGCGCGTGCCACGTGGCAAGCCCTGACAGTTCCAACTGGGGGACACTTGGCAGGACCTGATTGGTCCACGTGGCGCATTCCGATTGGTGGGAGCAAAATCCCCTAATCAGTTAGTACATTAATTAGGGGTTGAGGTTTATTTTAAAATAGTAGTTTAGCTTTTTAGTGTTTTTTTTTTTTTTTTTTTATAATGAAGAATATAAGATTGTCGGTGTAACATGTAAGTGGCGTACATGCGTTGGAATTATTTTTTCAATTAAAACCGTCCTTTACGATTGTTAGCCAGCTTGAGAGTTGAGACATACTAGTCTAATAAAATCTTGCTTTCATTAATGTCCTCTATGTATTTCATTACTCGTATTATGTATACAACTATATATACAACTATACAAGTTCGCAAATTAAAGTGCTACTGTAACATACATACGTCGTAAGTAAATAATTCGGATTAAGTTGATCCGTGATTTTGTGAGGGATTATGGTGCGTTAGGGTCCTTTTTCTTACCAATCAAATAAAAAAAACGTCTAAAAGTAAATAAATAAATAAAAGGAATTAATTTATATGTACCAAAATAAATACTACTTCGTATAAAAAATTAATTTTTATTAAAAATATACGTCTTTAAACGATAAGAGTTATGTTATTGAGTAGAAAACAAAAGGAACATCTTCGTGCTACTTGTATAATCATAATGTAAAATTCGTCTCAACAATTTCAAACTTTAAACATAAGTTTACCAACTACAGGATACGAGTACTAAAGTTCATCTCTCCAACAAAATTCATCACCATATTCATCAACACTAGCACGAACATAGATCGAGGCAGAAGTCGGAACATCATCACTAGAACTCTTGGAGAACATTGATGAAGAAAAGAAACCCAGATTATAAACTTGTTCGTGTTGATGAACTTGTGTAAGAGAAAGATTAAAAAGAAACAGACCAATGCTAAGAAAACAAAGCATTATGATCCCAAACCAAAAAAAAGACGTCTCTTTCTTAGATTGTCCTGTTGTTCTTCGGTGACTCATTGTCGATCACGAACTTTTGAACTAAGGTTCACGTACCCTTGTGAGTTGTTATTATGTAGAGGTTGTTGAGTTCTTAAAAATATGAACGATTTTTTATTCTATTTATAAGGGTCATATTAAACACCTAATCAATAAGCATTAAGCTAAGCCCACAAACTCTTGGATAATAAGACAATCCTATGACAATTAGGAAACTACTAAAACTTTCCCTTAAAAAAAAAAAAAAAAAAAGAACTACTAAACTTTCTAAAACTATTTAACAACAGGATTCTATCTTAAAATAACACTTTCAAAATAATCATTATCATATACTTCGTACTTGTAGTAGTATATGCTATACCTTAGATTATGTAGCCTCTCTAGGATATTCTACTTCGACCCGGATATCGATGCTTTTTTTTATAGCAAGTTTTCTTATTTCCTACTCTACACTAGATAGATTAGGACATGGTCTTGCAAGAATATGTTTTTAATCTCAACCTGTGTTTTTTTAAAAAATAAAATAAAATAAAAAACAGAATATATATCCCAATAAAATACTTAAGTACGGACTACTCCGTATATTTCTAATGTTCACTATTTGCATATTTATTGCATAAATAACATATAGTTTTTATTTTTTCAAAGGACGTACATAACTCATAACAATAAGTCAATAATCCAACAAAACATTCTTATAAAAACTAGAAAATAAAAATCATACTTCATATCTAATTTTTTTTTTTTTTTTTTTTTGATAACTAATCCAATTAATCTTGCGTCTCCTATGAATCTTATTGGAGATGTACACTTTTTATTCTACTACGTAGTTACGTTGTCTTATTACTGTGGCTGTGGCTGCGGCTGCGGCTGCATCAATGATACATGGGATATTTATGGCCTTAGGAGTTAGGACTTTAGGAGTCGAGTGGAAGACAAATCATTAATACTTCGGAGTTGAAATTCACTCCTTATTCACGGATCACTTATATAAATTTATTTGAACTTTATTTTAGGGGAATTTAGGGTAATTAATTCTTATAAGAACTTATCAAATAATTATATCTTGGCTTATCTTACATTATTTGTACAATTGTACTTATCTAAACCTATTTTTTTTTTTTTAAATCAATATTAATCTTTCTTTAGTCATAGGAAATAAAGGGTTTTTTTTTTTTTTTTTAATTTTTTTTATTGACAACAGAGTACAATAGTCACCTCTGTTATTTCTGCTTCTTAGCTAATGTTGCTAGTTTGTGAATTGTGAGCTACTTGTACATTATTTCTACTGACTTTTCTAATTACGAGTACTATACAAGATTAAAACAGCTGGGCTAATTTTTTGATATCTGCAATTATCAAATCACAATCCAGTACTCCGGAATAGGGTAGTTGATTGCCTCCTCCATTCTGTCAACTCTCTTTATTTTGGAGTTAAAAGTTTCAGACTTGTTGCGACTATACCGGAATTTTTGTAGAGGTGATTGTGAATTTTTTATATATACACCGAGTATATCGTGCTCCCAACTAATTCAAGCTTAGTTTTTGCTCAAGTAATTACGGAGTATCAAATAAGAACAAAATACTTATGGGTGTATATAACAATCGCTGGGTGACTGAATCTTACTCCCTCTATCCCCATTTTTTTCGCCCCATAGTAGATAAATGGGTCAAAGTTCATAAACTTTGACCATTAATTGCCATTAATCAATAAGAGATAAAATAGTCATGTGGGATATTATTAAATTCATCTCATTATATATTTTTTTTAATATCAAGTTTTTATAATATTTAAGCGTATGAAAATGGAGTTATATATTTAAGACGTGTATTGGAGACCGTGAAAAGTGCAAAAAAAATAAGACAGAGGGTGTATAATATGTCTCATACACAAAAATAATAGTGAAATATTAAGAAATACGGAGTAATAAAAACCCTTCAGCTCCTTTGTATATACTTCGTAGTATTCTGTTTTGGGGAGAGAAAGTCACAAGGATAAATAATGTAAACGAAATTTTATCATAGGTCTTGAATATCATTCAATCTTTAAGACTTTCCTCCTTCATACGGTACTTAGTTTTCATGTTAGTGCTTTTGAAACAATGGCTAACTACTTTATTAGTTAAAATCACGTCAGCTAGCAATAAGAATTTTGATCTAAATATCAAATACTTCGTATGTATTGCCCTTTATACTCCTTAATCCATATATAAAATAATCTATATTGTAGTTCGGCTCAAATACTAATGAAATTTATTTCGCAATATGAAATTTAAAACACAATTGAAGATAAATTGTCTATCACAAATATTATGCCTTTGAATGTACCATCAATATTCAAAATCTAAGATTAATTTACGTCTACATTATAGACAAAGTAGTCTAATAACATAAAAATAAAAAAAATTCCTCTAAAAAAAAAATTAACTAATAATCTTCAAACTTCCTTACTTTTCACACCATTGATCCGAACTTGATACTAACACAAAACAATCCATCACAAAGTTGACTTACTTTACCACCCAAGACCCCACAATGCAACACTATACTGTTTGCCATAGTTAAGTTTGATCGTGTCAATAATTTTTCCGAAAAACTAAAGATCGTAGTCGTCGTAGTATTCATCATCGCCATAATAATCCGAGTAGCGTATGGGATAATTAGCCCAATGATTTCCATGGTAATCAATCACACCATCTTTGTTAGAGACCGAGTAGGAATTATGAACATCACCAGCAGAATCGTTGTTGTTGATAGGCGTAGCAGAACCATGATTCTCATCGTTAGTACAAGTATTATTGTTGGGAATCACAGATGAAGAGTTCGTCAATTTATGACCCGTTCTTTTTTTGTGACGAACTTGTGTAAGAGAAATATTAAAAAGAAAAAGACCAATGCAAAGAAAACAAATCATTGCTATTAAAAACCAAAAGTTACGTATCTCTTTCTCATATGAGCTTGTTCTTCTATAACTCATTGTTTCGGACTTACGGGTCGTTTAATTATGAATGTTACTCCGTATATTATTGTACATGTATTTATAACTTTATAAGGGTTATAACTTATAAGAAACCTAAATTACTCGGATTATAACTTTTACACTAGGTATTATACGAGATGAGAGAATACTTCTTAGGAGATAAAGTTGATAATTTTAAAGTTAATAGGAATAGGATTCTGCAATAAGTCAAATTATTTATGGAAATTATTTACGACGGGGCCAATCGTTTAAATTTATGACTTGGGTTAAGCGCATATCATATGATTTTGCTTTTAGTTTAAGTTTTCCTTGACTAATCTAACATGGCAAATTGCCTAATACGAGTAGTAACATTATTTACCAAACTTTCTAAGAATACAAAAAATATCCAAAAATAAAATAAAAAGTTGTAATTGAAGAAGATCTGAAATTTAATTTGGAAAAAGACCAAACCCACTTATTATCAAATTCTCCCAAGTCAACTCCATTTATTGGGTAGTAATTAAATCAATTGAGATTTTTTAATTTTTTTTTCACGTGATTGGTTTCGTAAAATTCCATTTTTTGAGCTTTAAATTTCATGTGTTTGCCTAATTTGTGATTCAGGTGGAGAGAGAAAATTTTAATGAAATTTATAAATTTTCCAGCTTTAAAGAGCTCATATTTGCCGAATTTGTAAGCAATTTCTGGGGTTAAATTAATTAATTTGTTAAGGGTTTTTTTTGGTGGATTTTAAGCAAAATGGGTTTATTTATATCATACTTAAAGTGGTATTTTTTTATCCTATTACAAAAGTTGGGTAGAATTCCAATATTATGCTTATAAAATTCTCATTACTGGAGAGTTTTTAACACATTTTGCAGGATTCAAATTTCTGAGGGCTTTTTATTTGGAGAAAAATTAAATGTTGGTAACTGTGATCTTTCCCCTTTAATTTTTAGTATTGTATTTTTTTTTGAGTAATTTGCATGGATATGATTATATTATGATAGTTTTACCTTGTTTTTTCATTGATTTTGGTAATTGTTAAGTTAGGTATGATCTTAGAGTAGTTGATTAATTTCGAGTAATTTATAATGTTGGGTTTTGTGAATTTTGAGTAGTATTTGGTTTGTTGGGCTCTTGTAGAGAAGGGAAACTAGGTTTGATTGTATCAGTTACCGGTTCACGGTTGATCTTGATGATATGGTTACTCTAATTATCAGAATCCTCAAATTTGGCTGTTTTTGGGTAATATGCAATTTGGACCTGTGAATTTGGTTAGATCTTAGGAAGAAAGGAAGAAAAATAGTACTAGTAGGTCATTTGGATATAATTAGGCATGGCAAAGAATCCGAAATGGAGATTTAATCGAATAATGGGATGGCTTCAACTGTTTTTAGGAGTGCTGGTTATTATTGTGAGCATTTCTAGCCTAGTTAGATTCTATCATGCTGGATTTTTCTTTCATAGTGAAGATATTTGCCGTCATTTTTATGGGGAGAAGGATGCTTTCGAGGGGTTTGATGCCAAGGCGTTGTCTAATCGTATTGGGGAAGTGCTTGAAAAGATGGAAAATTTGCAAACCAAGCTTGAAGCCTATGTGCAAAAGATGGAGAAAGACAAAGATGATTTGGAGAAGAGTAATATGTCAAAGCTAGAGTTTAAGAGGTACTTGGAGGATGAGGTTATTCAACCTCTTTACGACTCTCACATCACACTTAGACAAATCCGATTACCAAAAGTGGGAGGTAGTGGAAACACGACCTTTATGGAGGAACCGTTGATAAATAATTTCGTGATTGAGGAGATCAGAAAGTATATCACCCCGAAAGAGAACAAGAATGGGAAGGTTAACATTTTTAAAACAGAGAGGATTTACAATACGATAGGCCATGCTTGTGTTTTAATGAAGAAAGATTTAGAATTCTACATGGATTATGATGTGGGTTCTTATTGCAAGGATGACTGGAATCTAGCTCAGAAGCTTATGCTTCATGGATGTGATCCATTGCCTCGAAGACGTTGCTTGACAAGGGCCTCCAAGATCTACCTCAAGCCAAAACCAATCAATGAATCACTATGGAAGATACCAGATGGAAGAAATGTCAGATGGAATCTCTACAGGTGCAGGGACTTTGAGTGCTTATCGAGCAACAATACTGATCGAGGTTATACCAAGTGCACGGGATGCTTTGAGATGGAAAAGGAGAGGCTTAAATGGGTCAACAAAAGCTCTATTTCTCCTGCTGAATTTCTCATAAGTGATGTTTTGGCTATCAAGCCAGGGGAGATACGGATTGGCATTGACTACAGCGTGGGTACTGGCAGTTTTGCTGCAAGGATGATGGAACAAAATGTCACCATTATTTCGACTGCCCTGAATTTGGGGGCACCTTTCAGTGAAATGATTGCACTTCGAGGGTTACTTCACTTGTATGTAACACCAAATCAACGGCTCCCATTCTTTGAAAACACGATGGACTTGATCCACACAACTGGTCTCTTGGATGGATGGATCGACCTGCTACTGTTGGATTTCATGTTATTCGATTGGGATCGAATTCTGAGACCCGGAGGTTTGTTATGGATAGATAGATTCTTCTGTAATAGAAATGACTTAGATGATTACATGTACATGTTCCTGCAGTTCAGGTACAAGAAGCATAAGTGGGTTGTGACTCCTAAGTCAAAAGACGAGGTTTATCTATCTGCTTTGCTTGAAAAGCCCCCTAGGTCCTTGTGAGTTTATTGCTTGATACTCATTTTGTTTAGTATTTGCAGCAAAAATTACTAATGTAATTATGCAAAAATTATGTTGTACTGAACAGTTTACATTTATATTGTTGCTCCTTTCCCTTAATGATTCAGTATGTTTCTTTTTTGATATCACCTATGCTTTCTCATAACTAGTTGAAATCTTGTGCCTTGTGCAAAGTTGTTTCATCCAAGTGCCACGATTATGTGCTTTTTTCTAAGCAGATGGTGAATTCTCATAATCCCCTTCTGTTAGAAGATTAAAATTATGCTAGGGGGAGGCTTTTTATACAACAGCTTACTCTGCTTATATCCTCGGAATTTTTGAGATGAACGGCTTAAGTTAAAGCTTTTCTCTACTGTAAGAGTGAAACTCGGTGAAGATGGTAGGGAACTCAATCTTGTGACCTTTAAGGTCATTCATAAGAGTGAAGCGACTGATTTTCTTCCCCAAAAGCTTTGAATTGTACTGTATCTAATTTTAGCTTATACTACTACCATGTCAAACTAATCTATTAGTTAATTAATTAATTAACTTATACTGAAGGCGAATAATCAATGACACTTGTCATTACCTTCTGAAAATTTTCCCGCCTTTTTCGCTTTTTATTTTTTTTTCTTTTTTTTTTTTGTAAATTCTTTACGTAAACTATTTATACCTTATGATATTTTCTTTCCAGTTTGACAATCATATTCCATATATACCCAAATGAAATATTTCTATATATCTTTTAAATACTTTACCTTATATTTTGTAATATTATTGTCAAAAATATTTAACAATCTGCATTGCACGGGATTTTAACCTAGTACTTTATATTTTTCAATGGAAAAGTTCTTTCAAATACATTTCATCTGTAATTAATTTTCATTTGAACCCTAAAGAATTCTTATTTTCGCTTATGGACACATCTATGGATGAAATGACTCAGCTCATAGAATTATTGTACTTCCTTCTTTTTTGAGAAGAAAAACATCTTTCGTGAACTACAATAGTGATATACGGAGTAACATTTTGAACACTTCACAAATAAAACACAAATATCAAACAAGAAAAACAACTATATAGTAATGTTATTATAATCATCATAAACCAAACCAAAATTAATCTTTTTTTTTAAAGGTAAAAAAAATAAACATTAAGAAGCCCTTCTCACGAGGGAAATTCCTAATGTATTACTCGTATGCATTTAGAGAAATTAACTTTGACCAAACCTAAATTGATCTGATTCATAATACAATTGTACTCGTAATTAATTAACCGATCATCGTATCTAGAATTAAAGACGGATGATTTTGCAGCGGTCATTTGAAAAATAATTATCATATTATTTTAATGATATATAATATGATTGGTTTATTTTTTCACGTTACAAAATAGCCACAATTAGTCTTATTATATCTACAATGTAAATATAAATTTTGAAAATTTTTATCTAACATAAATAAATATTTTTTGAAAAACTATAAAATAAGAATAACAATTACATAAATGAAACTAAAAATTTGATAAATCAAAAAAATGTTGATAATGTTATTTGATACCATTAATTAAGTAATATAATTAATAACTTGGAAAAAAAATGTTAATTATAAATTATATAATCATTAAAACATTATTCTAGTCATATTTCAAACGACTGTTATAAAATTTTCAAATCAAGACGACTCGACCTTTCACCCGATTTGACAACTCTCAATTTCCTCCTTTAAAAATCCCACCAACATGCACTTCGCATCATATAGTAAAAAAGGTCCAAATAAAAGAGGCCCAAAAACAAACATTGAAAACCCTCTTGATTTCAATTTCAATCACACTGAATTCCCTAAAACCTCATTCATCTTCAACGAGCAAACAAGCAAGTGAAGGAGGAGAGAGAAAATGGGGAGAAGAATACTCAACGATGCTCTTCGCACCATTGTTAACGCTGAGAAGAGAAACAAAGCTACTGCTGAACTCCAACCCATTTCTACGGTCATGTGCTCCTTTCTCCACATCATGAAAAATCGAGGTCTTTTTTTTTTTTTTTTTTTTTTTTTTGGGGTCAATTTATGCTTGTGATTTGATTAAAAATTCTATTTTTATGGGTGTTTTCTGCAATTGAATTTGACCCTTTAAGTTGCTTCTTTGTTTGCATCTTAATTTGGTTATGGTTTTTTATTTGGGAGTGATTTTAGCTCGAAATTGATGCTTCTGTTGAGATATGATTTCCTCTTTTTCTGGAAAATTTGGGTTGTTTAGGAAGATAATTGTACTGGGTTGCTGTAGAATTTGTCGTTAATAGAATGATTAGGGAGTTTTAGTAATTAGTACTGTATTATTGATGTTTATGCATAGGATGAGAGTTTAAGTTGATCAGTTCCACAACAACAAACAACCTTGCAAGATCTACTATAGCTAGTGATTATTGTATGGTCCTCGAGCATTCCCTCCCTTTGCAATATGGCAGAACTCGGTTGCCAAATTGTTTTACAAAGGGTTCTTGTTTTCACTTGTTGTTGTGAGTGTTGACTGTTGAGAGCAGTGGTTCGGACCACACATTAATTACTTCATTATAGTGGAATAAGAGGGGAGTAAGATCATAAGAGTTGGATGTATACGGGATTGGTTCTTGGAAATAGGATTTAAAGTATTGATGTTTTGAGGTGGAAGTTCAATTTCGTGAGATATCGAGCTAGACAATTTCAAGGACTTAAGACATATTCTTGGGGGTTAATGAATCGCACTTGAGTAAATTTTCTAGTTTAAGCAGTCTAGGTGTATATGGAAAATAATGTAGTACTCATAAGTCATAACATCTGTAACCTAAAGTTCCAAACCCATTGTTGCGAGGGAAGTTAGGCCTAGGAAAATTTCAGTATTTCTCTTATTCGTGCCCTGCTTGGACCTATGGCTATAGGCAGCATTTAGTTGGGGTGAGCATAAAGGAAACATTGTCAATGTTTGGGGATTAGATTTCCATCCACGGATCACATCACTGCAGCTTCCAAATGTTATCTTCATACTTTTAGTGCAGAATAACCTGTTGCAACATTAATCTGTTATAGGTTTTCCCTTATGAACTTGAAAAGAAAGAAAAATGGTTAAAGTGCTGAACATTGGCCAATGTTAGAAACATTGGCCAATTGTGTATGATTCTGGCAATATTAAGCCATCGGCAACCTGAGTTGGAGAATGCATGTGGGAAGGATTGTGCCTGTAAATTTCTTCAAAAGCCTTTACATATAGGTTTATGTTATGCTTAATCATCTAGAATCATAGATTGAATTTGAACTTTAGCTCATTTGACTTTATAATCGCTTTCTTAAATCTTAACCATGACCGGTGATGAAGAAAGTCTTGGGGAATGAGATTATCTAGCAGATTTAGTTGGCAGAATCTATTATTTAGAGCTTCCCACATGCAGCACTTTTGAGATGCTATAAATTAATCTAGCAGTCATTGGTGATAAACTTGTAAATAGCTAATCGGTAATACTGTAATACATCACAAGAAAATTATTTGAACTGCACATGTTCCCTCCAAAAAATTCTCATGTTGTTATGTTACTGGGTAGCTTTTACCATCTGTTGCTGTGAGCCTGTGACTATAACTTCTATCTATTGTCTTTGTCAGTTTAGTGAAGCCAAAAAGTGTATTAGTATCCTAAACTCTAAAATAAGCTGATTGAGTCTGAAATCTCCACCCTTTTTGTACACTTTGATCCAAATCTAAACTTACGTTCCATCTTTTCACTCTCTTAGAGACGACACTGTTCCGATAGGTCACGAATAAATTCATATAAATACCTTTTTTTCACTCTTGGGCTAGCTTATTATTCTAAACTGTTGTCAAATTCACAGAATCTCTGTATGATTGCATGTAATGGTACATTGGTACATATACAGAACTAGTTTTCTATCAGTAAGTCAATTCTAAACTTGGTCAGTGACTTATATTTTGTGTTCATTAAGCACTACTAGAAAAGGTGATATTATTAATGTCTAGGGGCTTGTGTCAATGGACCTTAGATATAGGAGAGATTGGAATGAATCAAGATGGATATGCTGAAGCTTGGTGCTGTGAGTTACCAGACAATCTTCACAAATCCTTCCTTGCCTGATAGAGGTTGGTGAGGTTTTGGTAACCAACGCATGGTGTTGCATTATTTGGATATGCTACCAATACAGGTTTAGCTATGGGGAACATTATTGAGATGTTTTGTTCCAGTTCATGTAGCTGACCTTATCATTTGGATTAAAGCTCTGATATTGTTGCGGTCTATACCCTAAAGTCTATGCGTTCATTTAATAACAAATGCTTGATTCTTTTGTTTTTTTTTTCCCACTTGAAAATCAGGCTTTTGCTATTAAGTTCTGTAGCCGTTTTTTCAAGTCATTATTACTTTCTTAACTACAAAAAGTCAAATTTTGGTGATTTGGCAATTTTAAACATTTTGCTTCTAAGACTACACAAATTCTTCGTATATAATTAGATATATTGTTTCCTTGTATGAATGTGGATTTGAGCTTCATTGGCCGACTACCCCTGTACTTCCTTTTTCACAAAGAAAGCTGGTTATCTTATTTGCAGGGTATATCAAAGATTTTCAAGTTCATGATCTGCATAGAGTTGGAAAGGCAACTGTAGAACTTCTAGGACGGGTGAATGACTGCAAAGCTCTCACTTATAGACAGGACTTGAAAGCAAAGGATGTTGAAAAGTACAGAAAGGAGACTCTCCCAACACGACAGGTGTGTATTTTCATACTCTGAAAGCATTCTGACTAATGTCCATGTGCTCCTGATTGCAAGAATCAAGTGAGAGCTCAGCACTAGGTTTGGGTTTGTTTCTAATGTGCTCTAAGCTCATGGTTGTTGAGCAATAGTAAGTGGTTGAATTTTGTCCCCCTTCTTTTCAGTTTGCAGTTTTGCACTCAGCACTGGATGGGAAGTGGACGTCTCACCCCTTACTGCTCTCCAAAAATAAAAAAGAATTTTTTGGATTCCTGGTCAATGAAGTCTAGAAGAGATTCGACTTTACAGCTTGTTTGTGAAGTTAATTTTCTCCTTATGAGTTCAAGCATTTTGGGTCGTAAAAAAAAGAGATTGAATAGGAATTACGTATCCCAATTTTTGACCACGGATCTATCTATGCATTGGTAGGTAACGACTTTTTCATTACCCCAGCAATTGACCTAGGATAGTTATACTAGACCTAGCAATTGATTTAGGCTAGGGAAGAGGGAGTCATTCACTGTGCGTAACTTAGGAGCAATCTTTATAACAGTCCTCACCGAGAAAGAAGGTTGGTTAAAATGAGTCCTATTCAAAGAGATACAATCAAGGCCTAAGGGAGGGCTATCTTAAATGGTTTCATTTTTATTTTTTACTTCGTATTTTTTCGGGAGGGGGTGTTCGTTCTTGTGTCTTCTCTGATGTTTATCTCTTTTATTTTTGTGTTTTTTTGCAGTGGGGCTACGTTGTAATTACAACTCCAAACGGTGTCCTGGACCATGAAGAAGCCATCAAACAGAATGTGGGGGGTCAAGTTCTTGGTTATTTTCATTGATTACAAACTTGATATGGCTTCTGTAGTCAAATATACTGGTGGAAATGATTGTGGGTATGAGATTGTAGCCCATTTTTAACAAAGTTGCATGAGACAAAAGTTTGATCTACTCAATATCACATCATTTTCATGTTTGAAGATGCTACATTAGGTCTTGGCCAAATATCATGTATTCTTCATTGTGTCATTTTCCCGGATTAGTTTGGTGCAGAAATTGAAGTCCTTTTGATGTTCTACAGAAATCCATGTGAAAAGAATTCCTATGCCTACAGGGGCTTCAGCAATTACTGTATTATCTTCTAGTGAAAACTTGAAATCGAGTGGAAACTTGAAATTTCGAGTGGTTATTTGCTACTCCGTATTATTTGAATAAGCACATAAACTCCAGATATGGCTCTAGATCATGATTTATGTCAATCTTCAAGGATAAAATACTACAGAGTAACAAATAGGGCTTAATTTACTCAAATTGTTCAGTTTTTTGGACTAAATTATTGCATTTGGCAGTAAAGATTAGTGAGGAATTGAGTATTGACAGCAAAAGGAATTATGAAGGGTTGATTGACAAATAATACACTAAGACAAGAAAAAGCAATGCAGTGATTATCATTAATTGAATCTCTTTGAAAACGCCCTACAGCAAGGTTGTAACACGTTGCCTAAGATTGCAGTAAACTAGAATTATTCATCAATAATGGTTGTTTTTATTTCAAGGAAAGAGAAAAAATAAAAATAAAAAAGCAAATTAAGGAACAACAGGCACTAAATATTATAAGTACTGCAACATGTTGCTGGCTAAATTGCTTTGTCAATATGCTTGAATTTGATGATAATGCATCAAAATTTTGTTACACTAACTTAAAAACCAATGTAAAATAAGATCAACCTGGAACTCTGGAAGCTGAGAACATTTTAACATCAGATATTCAAGATAGTTGATGGGGAGATGCAAGAAATTTTGAACATGGCGTAAGACGTACGCAGACAATAACATACTTGTGTACAAGTCTGTCCATGTTCATCGTGGATGTTCCCAGCAAAAACATAAGATTATATAATAACTTACTAAAGTCATAACCAATACCATTCACCATGTAGGTTGAATAAACAAGCAAAATTAAATGGATAGCTCCGTACATAAAAGCAACCAGTTTCGTAATAACAGAATACAAGGGGCAAGAGCCCTACTACTATATTTGATTTCCATTCCTCGGAAACATGGAAGATAGATGGCATATTTCACAGCGCTCAGCCATATATAACTTTGCAGTAGCTAGTTCAGATGACATGGTACATGAATCCACTCCCTGCAAGATTGTAACAACCACAAATTATTAATCTGCTTGACTATTTTAGATAGTGAAGATAATGGACAAAAAACGAGGGAAACATAACCAAACACACATAAATGAACACACAGATACTAAACACAATATAACCTAACCAATGTCATTATTATGAATGACTCGTTAAAAACAGCGAGCTGCATAAACATCTCCCATCACTTCCAGTTGGACAGGCATAAAGCATACAGATAGAACCCATTATACTTCTACATGTGGAACAATTGAAACCTTTCTTTTTACTTATTTGTTTGTCCTCCACACCCCCCCCCCCCCCCCGCCGCCCCAAACCCCCCACAAGTCTTTCTTCTTTGGCCCATGCCATGGGCCAGATTCAGAGGTTGTCTGTAAAGGAGGCGATAAGTATACACATAGTATATGCAAGCATGATGCCTTGTCAACACTCCATTGGTATTGGAGAGCAACATAAGGCAACAATCACATTAACAATCAACCACGTGAGCCAACTTATGGTCTCAAACTGGATACATGAATAAATGTCTTACTTGGGAGTTGGGACCATCCAAACCATCAATGACACGGGGTCCTTCAGATACTCCTTATTGTAGCATAGTTAGAGTCTCATGAGTGATATTAAGTTAATGCATGCTTCGAGTTTCTAGATCCATCAAAAAATACAAGGCTAAAGGAGTGAAAGATAATCGACAACAGCGAAGTTGGAAAATAGCAGGACAGGAAGAAGACAATTGATGTAATCACTCAATTTAAAGAAAAGATAAGAGCAGCTACAAGGTGCAAAGCAGTATACAACCGGAACCTCAATTTCCACATGAAAAGCAGATAATATGAAGACTTCAGGTGCCAGAAAGAGACAATAAACCCTTGTAAATTGTAACTAGGTGAGTATGAAAGAGCAAAAAAAAAAAAAAACATAAACAATAGGTTTTGTCTACATAAAATAGAAAAAATCTCTCTTGAGGAATAATCAGCAAGACATGCACAAATCTTTTTACACAAAGGCAACCATTGTATACACAAGTCAAGCAAACATATAAGAAATCTAGATTAACTGTAGAATATATAGAAGTAACCAGCAAGGACAACATAGAAAAATGATTTGATAAATACAAACTTTAACACAGCATTAGTTAAAAATAAATAAATAAAAAATACACAAATACACAAATAACAGTAACGGTGTGTTTGGATTGAAGGAAATAGAGGGAAAGGAAGGGAAGGGAAAGGAAGGGAAGGGAAATGGAGAGATTGGGTTTCCTTTATTTGGATAACAAATGAGGAAGGAAGGGAATTGGAGGGAAGGGAAATGGAGAGATTGGGTTTCCTTTATTTGGAAGGAAAACTCACCATTCTTCCCTTCCCTCCCTTTCCCTCCCCTCCTCTTCTCCTCCCTCCCCTTCTTTTCCTTCCCCTTTCTATAACTAAACACACTGTAAGGGAGCCACAATTCATAATAGATTACTCATTGAAGCTCATACCTAAAGATAACAACATTACTCATCATCTTCATAAGATCGTTTCCGGCTCTTCTTGTCTGAGCGCTTTGAGTGCCTTCCAATCCTAGAATCCTCCGAGTCACTGACATCGGAATCAGAAGGTAACCTAGCCCTCCTGCTCTTTCTCTTACGCCGCTTAGGAGATTCATCAGTATCATCTGAATCATCTGCATGTCGATGGCTCCTCCTCCTCCTCTTCTCCTTCCTACTCTTCCTCTTTCGACGTTCCTCCTCTTCATCAGATGATTCATCCTTCTTCATTCTCTTTTCCTTTCTCCTCTTCCTGCGAACATCATTATCATCATCTGAATCGGTCCCTGATCTTTTCCCACTCCTCCTCTTCTTTGACCTACCCCTTTTCTTCCTCCTTCCAGAATCAGAATCTTCATCATCCGAGGTATCTTTCTTCTTTTTTGTAGACTTCAATTTGCTACTGGCCTTCTTTTTCTTCCCATATCTTTCAGCAATAATCTTCTCCATCTCAGAATCTTCACTAGAATCAGAGCTCTCAGTCTCATCATCCACCTCAGAACTCTCCTCTCCGCTCTCAGCAGCCACTTTACCATTCATTTTCCCAAAACTACCCTTAATTTTCTGCAGCCCTGCCAAGACATTGGCCTGAATCAGATCTTGGTCTTTCTCATCCTCTTTAACACTCAGAAAGTTCCTACACTGAAAAGTAAGATGCCCAACACGGCCACACTTCTTGCAAGCACCACGGGCCTCGTCGTTATTTGAACCAGTGATTCGAGCTAGAGCAAGCAAACCCTGGAAATTTGCATAAGCATTCTCAGGATCTTCCTCAGTCTTGCTCTGAGAAGCCACCTTGGAATCATCTTTGGTGGGAGCATAGGGATCATAACCAATCGCACTCTGCCAAATTCCGTGAGTCTGAAGAGCAGCACTACTGTGCACCCGGTTATTCGCGGGCATACGCACCCTACCTGCTGTAGCCGGCATTTTGAAACCAGAATCTACAACTCTAAAACAACACAAGGGAAACAAGATCAGAATTTAGAAATAGATGAACAACAAGGATTTCAAACAATAATCCCCAACAAATATCAAAAGAAAATTAATATTTCAAATACAGAAATTTGTCAATAGATCCAATTGATTGATCACACTTCGTTTTACTTACCATAAAATTCAAATTCTAATCTTCCCAATTCACAAGCTAACGAAATACGAACCTTTTCACCGATTAAAGTGTTAAATCAATGTTCCCACTAATCATAAGGAAATAATTTTCGGGCATCACGATCAATGCAACAAAAACTAGTCATTATTAACCTTCAAGAAAAACCCATGAAATCAATTTGACAATAACAAAATCATTTGTAAAAAGTAAAATATTGTCATTCAACTAAACAATGAGACACTAACTATTCAACCCCAAAATTCCAAAATCCAACCTATTCAATGCTATGTTTAATTCGCGTATTCTCTCCTTTTTTTCTAAAAAGATTACAAAGTTTTCTTTTTCCCCCACCTCCAGGCAAGATCATACGATGCTTATAGGAAAAGAAACATGAATTCCTCAAATTTAAAAAGCAATAAATTAGAAACAATTAAGAAATTAAGAAAGAAAACTGAGAAATTACCGAAATCAAATTAGGGTTTTCCGAGGCGATTGAGAATGGAGACGGCGGAAGCGAGCGCGAAGGCCGAGGATCGGCAAAGAGGAAACTAAGCGGCGAAAAAGCTTGAGATTTGAGCTTTAATGGCGTCTGGATAAAGAGAGGGAATTGATGAGGATGAAAAACGAAAAAGAAGGCAAAGAGATAAAGTGTCGGGCAAATTGAAGAAAAAAGGATATTGCATTACAATTTTTAATTTAAATTCTACGGTTTATATCAATTCTCACAATTGAAATTTAAAGAGTATTTGTTGACTTTTTAATATATTTTTGAAAACATTGACATGATCCGTTTTCTTTAAAAGGTTGCGAGCACAAGAAACGGGTACTGACACGGATATGGATACGAAACGGATACTGAAAAACGTCTATCGTAAAATAAGGGATACGGGTACGGAATGTTAAAATTCATATAATATGTTTTTTTTAAAAAAGAATTTGACCATATATTTGTCATTCCGTCCTTTCATTAGATAATAGTGTATCATATTAACAATGAGTTGTATAAAGGCACCCATATTATTTAACAATTACCTTATTTATCTTACTTTACTTAATTTTTTACATTTAACAAAAGTTGAACATTCTATATTATAGTAGGATACGGTCCGAGACATATCGTCGTGTGTCTCACGAGTGTCGGTGTCTGACACAGGGTCCGACACGGACACGGCAATTGGATGAAGTGTCCATGTATCCTAGGTTACAACTATTGATTAACTTAGACCGGTCCTAATTAATTTTAGGAGTGCCCTTTATAAAATGATCCTTAACATATTTTTAACCGATTTGATATGTTAATATTGACATGTGTCTTGTTTTTGTTAGGCATAACACGTGACAATTTTAACCGGTTAACTCGGTCATTATAAGGTAGGAACTGTTTTAAGGACACCCCTGAAGTTAGGAGTTAATCAATAGTTGAGATCGTTTAAAGAAAAATGTCCATAGTTGAGACTGGTGAGAATCTATCCCAGGATTCCCTGAAACCGGAAAGAAAACTCAAACCACCTATTCTTCATTCTCTTAAATTTAATTTCAAATATTGTACTACCTTTATTTTAATCAAGTGTTTTAATTTGACTTTTTACACTATTTATTTATTACATTTTGAGACTTTGAGTTTTTGACCAATGTTAGTAAGTTATACTTCGTACATTAAAAAATAAACATAATCATGTGGATATTTATTGAAATCATCTCAATATATAGTTTTTAAATATCAACTTTAATAATTTATACTTATTGATAATAAAAGAAATTATTAGTCAAAATTCTACATTGACATATATACCCAGTCAAACTGGGGGTTTATTGGGGCACTTATTTAAAAAAAAAAAAAAAAAAAAAAAAAAAACAGATAAAAAAACTAAGGGAGTGCTACGTAAGTGGTAAGAGCATTTACATCGGTGAGCTAGATCACAAATGCAAATGCACAAATTTTTCCACCTCATTTCTACTAGTTTTTTTTTAAGTAAAATTAATCCATTAATAAAAGTCATACGACATATCACATGAGTATATTATTCATAATACTAATTGAAATGAACTTGACTATAAGGTGTAAGCAGCAGCAGCTGCAGCAACAACAACACCAAGAATAACAAAAACCAATTTCTATTCTCATAATTTTTTTTATTGACTCCAAATCCTTGCGGAACTTAAATGACATACACTTTAGACATATCCAAGTGATCATTATTGCTTGTGTGTATCTAGTTCGAGAAGTATTAATGCACGTTCCCTCTAGATTTTGCCTTGAGAGGGTTTTTGTTCTAGCTTTTCTAGCTAGGGTTTCTTGATTTTCAAGGCTCTTCTCGATTCTAGATCGAGTTTCTTTCTCTTTTCTTTGTTTGTTTCTCAAGTTATTGGTTTTCCTTTTCATTATGATGGAGTCCGATGAGCAGTCGACCCTAGCATTACATGAGAAGGAGATTGTTGACAATGTTGTTAAGGAACCCCCAATCTGGGAGGATCCTAATGAAGCAATTGAGTGGGATGATGAAGGAGAGGACGATGATGAAGCCCGCATTGAACTCGCTCTTGTAGGTAAACTTTGGAAAAATCGTAATGTTAATGTTAACGCTTTTATTTTGACGATGAGAGGAGTGTGGCAACCTAAGCATGGAGTGGATGTTTCTAATATTGGTAAAAGTCAATTCTTGTTTCAATTTTACCACTGGAGAGATAAGCAACGAGTGATTGATGAACAACCTTGGCACTTTGATAAACGTGCTCTTATCCTTGGAGAAACTCTTGATTCGGTGAAACCATCAGAAATTGAACTGTTCCATTTGCCTATGTGGATTAGGGTTTATAATCTCCTTCTCAAAGGAAGATTGAACCTAGCTAATGTTGAGAAAATTGGGAATAAATTGGGTGTAGTCGTTAAAATGGATGCAGCCGCGAAGGTAGGAATTGACAAATCGATTTGGCTTTGAGTTTTAGTTGATGTACGTTAACCTTCGTTCAAGCATGTTCGATTGAAGCTTAGGGGTGGAATTGAAGAGGCTTTTGAAGTAAAGTACGAAAAACCTCCTCTATTTTGCTTTTATTGTAGTCTAATAATGGGGCATGGTTTAAGAGACTGTGAAGAGCACAAGGAAATTGAAGAGCCGAAACTTATGTATGGGGCCTGGATGAAGGCCTCCCCTTGGAAGTATAATCTGGGGCTGACAGAAGGTGGGGAAAGGAATGAAGGAAGCTACGCAAAATCTACGTTTGTGACTAAACCGAAGAAGAAATCAGAGTTGAAGAGTGTTAGTACAATGCAAGTGACGGAGATGTTGAACAAACTTGATAATGTTGATTTGAGTAGTGGGGAAGGGGTGAAAATTCGACCTGTGTAATGCCTAGTGAAGTGTTCACTTATAAAAGTGGGGAGGATAGTAAGACTGTGAGTGTGCATCCAAGTGGAGGGGAAAAATCCGGTAATAACCTGATTCATAAACAAAAGCAGTGGAAGAGAACTAGAAGGGATGATGACCATAGTATGGGAAATAATGTGATGATAGCTGGTGAGAAAAGAAAATGTATGGAGGAAAATGAGAATGATGGAATGAGCTGTGAAGAGATGGAGAAAAAAAAAGAAGAGAATATTGTTGAACTCTGATGTTAGTGTGGCGAGCCCTACCAACAGGGCTCTCGATAAACAATGAGCTACATCATAGCTTGGAATTGTAGGGGGTTAGGGGGCACCCCTGCAATTAATGCCTTGAAATGCATCGTGTTTCTTGAAGGTCCCCAGATTGTGTTCCTCTCAGAGACTAAATTGAAAGCTTTTGAATTTTATAAAATAAAACAAAAAACAAAATTTGATAGTGCCTTTGTGGTTGACTGTGATGGGGAAGGAAGGAGAAGAAAAGAGGGTTTAGCTTTGATGTGGAAGAGCTCAGTTAACGTCATAATATACTCTTACTCCCAAAATCACATTGATGTAGGGGTTGGGCAGTGGAGGTTTTCCGGATTGTATGGCTTCCCTGACGATGAATCAAAGTTCAAAACTGGGCAGCTCCTTAAGAGGTTGGGGGATGCGAATGTGCAGCCTTAGCTTTGCGGGGGTGAATTCAACCTTGTGGTCCAGTCAAGTGAGAAATCAGGGGTCGTGCATTCAATTATGATGATGCTGATATTCTCAGAGATGCGGCTTCTCACTACCAGTTTGAAGACCTTGGGTATATTGGGCATGATTTTACGTGGTTGAACAATAGAGGTGGTTCGAAAAATGTGCAAGAAAGATTGGATATATTTTTTGCGAACAGAGAATGGAGAGAGCTTTTCCCAGGTTCCTTTGTCACTCATCTTACTAAGAGAAAAGTTGATCATCTCCCTTTACTTTTGTGCATAAAAGAAGCTGTGAATTCACCAAAAAAAAAAAAGAAAAAAAAGCAGTATCGATTTGAAGAAATGTGGCTTCGTGATGAAAATTGCGCAGAGATAGTATTGGAAGCATGGGAAAGGGGTGGTGATCTGTGCTCAAAAATTGCTTTTACTTCCACTAGATTGAGTGCGTGGAGTCGGGAGAAGTTCGGTGATTTTGTGAAAGAATTACAGGCCTGTAATTCGGAGATGGAGAGACTTATGGGGGAGACTCAAACAGAGGAGGTAATAGCCCAAATGAGAGCAATTGATGGGGGAAGTTATTTGTGGCTGTAGCATGTCCCAATGAGTCCAAAGTGAGTAATGCAGCTTACTACTTAAGGGGTGAGGCAGATTTGTGGTGGCAGTAGAATGAACAAAATGTGAGTGCATTACCTAACTTTGGATGGAATGTATTCAAGGAGCAAGTGAGGGATAACTTCTACCCTATATTCTTGCAGAAGCAGAAAGCTGATGAGTTCTTGGAACTTAAGATGGGGAGTATGTCGGTGACTGAGTATTACACTATGTTTATCGAGCTGTCTAGGTTTGCTGAAGATATTGTGGCTACTGATAGGCAGAAAGCTAGAAGGTTTGAGAGGGGATTGCCTCTTTCTTTCCAAGGAAAGTTGTCGGGGCAAGTGTTTGACAATTTGGATTAGTTGTATGGTAGGGCAGCGCATTTACATGCATTGGAATTAAAGGAGAAAGCTGCAAAGGCTGAGTTGGAAGCTAGGGAGAAAAGAAAGGAGCCTATGACTAGTTCTGGACCATCTGGAAACCAGAATAATTTTAAGAAGCAAAAGTTTAATACCACATAGGTAATAACTTTCAAAACAATAGAAACAACTAAGGTGGGCGCAACTTTCCTAAGGGAAATAGAAACCAATCTAGAGATTAAGCACAAATAGTGTACCACTGCAAGAAATTCCCTAATAACCACCCAGGAAAGGGCAGCAATGGTAACATGGTCACTTGTAACCTATGTAACAAATAGGGGCATAGGGCGTACGAGTGTTACTCTAGGAATCGAGGGGGTCAAGGGAACAATCAGTTTTTAAGGGTAACGGACAAAACTGGAATCAACAGAAAGGAGGTTAGGGTAACAATGGGAATCAAGTGAACAAGGGGGCGCAGTTTCAGAATGGAAATAAGAATACCAATGGTGGTAACACACAAGTCAAGGGTGGAACACCAAGAAAGCTTAATGTGATAGGTTCACGTGAGGCTGACGCAGCGAGAAATGTCATTACTGGTACATTTTCTATAAACTCAGTTCCTGTTAAAGTTTTGTTTGATTCTGGTGCAACATACTCTT